CGGAGTTTAGGGCTGTTGTACATGGGGTCGCTATGAGTCGCAGGTGACTCGATGGCACACAACAACAACAACAACAACAACAACATGTTACAGAGGCTTAAAAATATACCTGGGACATAATTTTGTCTCTGGAAACCTGCTAGAGGGTCAGCTATGAGTCAGTTACGGCTCGATGGCACACAACAACATTTGTGAGAGACGTTATGAGTTCAGATTAAAATACAACTCTTAGAAAAGCTTGTGAGTGTGTAACTAAAGCTAGTTTATTACACAGTGGATGTATGTTCTTGTCTATTATCAGCACTGTATTTGAAATAATATAGAATATATACTTCAAGTGGAAAGGAAAGAGAAGGCACCACACCGAACGGCAAAAAGGAATGGCGGAGTGAAGAGCTGGAGCCTCGGATGGGATTCTCGTTCTCTTAGGCATTAGTTCTATAAACGTGGAAGCTGTGGGGTGTTTTCAAGCACAGAATTGGCCAAGAGCTGAGAGGAGATGGCTCATGCTTCTCATCGGAGCATCTGTGCCTTTGGGTTTTGACAGTGTAGCTCTTTACCACTAGGCCACCAGAACCCCCTCCTGGAGCTGCTGGGAAGACTTAAACCACCAATCTGTCAATTAGCAACGGTCAGCTTAACCTTTGTACTACCAGGGCTCCTTTGCCTTGGAAGAGCTTATAAATTCTCTAAGCTAAACTTTCCTGCTGTAAAATGAACCAACAGTCCTCGGTAATTACCTGATACAATTACCATAATAATGAAATAAGATGTTAGATGTGCGGTGTGGAGCACTCTGTAATGAGAGCCATTACTGACTATCTTTTGTTGGTCCTGTTGAATTGTAGTGGCTTGTGTTGTTCTCTGACGCCGGAAGCTAAGTCACCGCTATTTCAAGTACCAGTAAAGCTTCAGCGTAGTTTCCAGACTAGGAGAAAAGGTCTGGTGTTTCCCTTCTGAAAACCAGCCAGTGGAAACTCTATCATTCATTACATTGGAATATTGTCTGATTTGGTGTAGGAAGATGAATCTCTAGGTTTGAAGACACTCAAAATACTCAGTGAGCACAACAGTGAACTCAAGCATGCCAGCAATCATGAGGACGGAGCAAGACCAGGCCACGCTTTATTCCACTGCAGACAGGGCTTCCATGAGTGAGGCCAGCTCTACACAAACTGTCTGCTAGTGAGGTGAATTCCCAGCTTCCAACACTTCCAGTGAACAGAAGCAAATGCATCAAACCATCACTCATAATGTCACAGCTGGCCCCACACTGTGACCATCAACATGAAGGAGCATCTGAAAGCACCTTCTGAGATAAAGAAGAAATGTAAGAACCTCAGAAGCATGAAGCGGAGCGACTGTCTTTAGAGATCTGGCTCTCATGCTTCTGAATCTGTTGTTTCCTTTGGTTTCTAGCAATTTCCAAGACTTGATCTCTTACAACCTTCGAATCCCCCACAACCTTCAGTTCTGCAGCCACATTCACCGTCCTGTTCCCTGCCCTTCTTTACACCCAAGCTTAAGACTGCTGGGCATCAGGAACATTCATAGCCCCACACCTGCCCGTCAGAAGCATGGGAACACCTACAACCCCACTGTCTGAGACTAACTCATTCTTCACCAAAGGGCATATGGAGAGCTACTATGGGAAATTTTAGGAAAATTATGCCTGAGCTGAAATTATCTTTTGAATTCTGAAAACACTTGTATGCCAAAAATCATAGATTGTTCAGGCCATTTGAGGCTCCAGGGATCACAGCTGGCCAGAACCAAGCACTCCACACGCACCATTGACAGCCTCTTAGCAACCACAGACCTCAAAGGCCAGGAGGAAGAAATGATTGGAAGGAAGCAGAGGTAATCCCCAAAGTCAAACTCATTAGCTAAAGAAGATTCTGATGAGACAAGCTGGTCTTTCAAAGCATCTTTTAAGCTTTGGAGAGTTTCTAGGGTAACTGAGAGGTGCTATCATGGCACACCTCATCTTTCCTACTGCTGTCTCCTCCCATCCCCCAGATTTACAGCTGTGTTCCCTTCCATTACAGAGAATAAATGAGTTCTTCAGAGCTCATTTGGGAACAAGCCTGCAAACTAACATTCTTTTCCCAGTGGCAATATAAGATCAAAATTATCACTTCAGAAATATAATTACTGTTTGCAATCTCACTAGAAATCACTATTGGTTGAAGCCCTGGTGGATGTGGTGAGCATTACCATATATCTGCTTAACGAGGTGCAAAATGGTCTGAAACACTCACACCAAAACTTTTAAAAATTCCCAAACATCTAGAATATGCCACATGCATCAGTGGACCTAATGACATAATTATGTCTCAATCACGGAACACCCGAATTAACTCTTTAAACCACCAACTGCCTAGCAATGAACATTGCTGCTTTAGGATTTTCCCCAATCCTGTCAGGATCAAAACTAAGTCTCAAGGAAGGAATAAATTCAGGGGACATTTACATCCTTCTGTGAGATACTGTTTAGTCATAGCTGACTCATAGAACTCCTATACCTATAAAACACAGCCCTAAGTGATCCCTCCCCACAATCCCTCACAATTTCTGTCATTCCAGATCGCTGGGCCTCAAGCCAGATCACTGGACCTCAAGCCAGGTCACTAGGCCAATCCATCTTGACAGACTTCCTCTCCTTCACTGACCTTCCACCTTACCAAGCATGATGTCATTTTCTAGGGACTTATCTCTCCAGACAGAATGCCCAAAATAATAGAACATAAAGCTTCTCACTCGTTCCTCCTAAGAAGCACTCTGTCTGCACATCCTCTAAAGCATGCATTTTTTAAATTTCCTTTTTTTTGATAGTCCATGGTATTTTTGATATTTTTTTACCAACAACACAAGTCATAGGCATCAATTTTTCTTTTGCCTTTCTTATTCACCGTCCAACTTTTCACATGGATGTGAAGCACCTAAAATTGCCATGGCTTGGGTCAGGTGCACCTTAATCTTTAAAATGACATCTTTGCACATTAGTATTTGAAGGAACTCCTTGACAGCAGATTTTCCCAATGCAGTATGTCTTTTGAATTCTTGACTGCTCCTTCCATGGGTGTTGATCATGGGTCCATGAAATCCTTGACAACGCCAATATTTCCTTCATTTATATTTATTTAGGTTTCATTTATGTTTTATTATTACAGTTGTGAGGACTGTTGTTTGTCCGATCCATACTTTGATTTTCCTCATTAAGTGAGTTGATGATACTCCCTCAAAACCACATTTACATTGAATTCAGTGGGTTTCTAAGATTGTCAGTCACGTGAGAGCTGACTTCCTTTTTCCTGAGGAGCCACTGGTGGATTTGAACCACCAGAGAAGTGAGCCTTTGGGTTAGCAATGATCTCTCAATGGACTACACCAACAGAGCTCCCTAAGGAGACCTTAGTTATCCAAAAATTACCTAGTCTTTATGAAAGTTAGTCAGATTGGAACATCAGTGGTATTCTCATAGACAGATTGGAAAAGAAACAATCTCATAAACTAGTTTCTCATTGCAGGCACTACTGACAAATTGGGTGACATAAATCTTTGCAGCATGAAGATGTCCTGTGTACTATGAGTTAAAGTTAACTTGATGGCACCTAACTACAATGACATGTACATGTTGGTCTCCATCTTGAAAAGTGTTTGGTAATAGGACCTGCATGCATCTTGTTCTTTTCTACCTAGCATACAGTATTAGAATGATTAGTGGATGGATGCAAGAATGAAGATAAATTTTGGCTTTGGGAGCTCAGAGAGGTTGCCCATGAGCTGAACTTTAAAAGATGGGTAGGCTTATAAGAGGCAGAAGATTGTAGGGATCAAGTATTCTAGATTGCATAGAAATAACTGCATGAGCAAAATTATCAAAGTGCAGGGTACCAAGAAAAGACAAGAAGTTCGGTACATGATGATAGGCAGAAGAGAGATTTATGGAGGGGAACTGAAGTGATCTGGTGCTAGAAAGGTAAGCTGAGGCCACTTCATGAAGAGTGCTTAATGCTTCAATGAAGAATTTGGGGTGTATTCTGCATGAAGAAATTCTGAATGAGTGGGCTGTGAAGAAGTGTTCTGACAACCAGACTTACCCATGCTTCAGGAAGCTGATCTTTCCAAGTGGAGGGAAGGATGATCTGGAGTGAGGAAATCAAGGAGCAGGAATTGGGTTTAGGAGATTCCATTAGGACTCATTTGATGTCAATATTGTGTGTATATGTTATGTTTTTGTAAGAGAACATTTCTTGAAAGCTTGGTAGCCTCATTTGGTGGAACAACTACCTCCTGAGCACCTCTGCTGTGTTGGAGTTTACCTTCTTGTTTCGTTTTTATCTGAATTTTATTGAGTTCTGAATTATTAATGTATGTGCATAGAGACAAGATTAGATAGAACAAAATGCAAAGACTGCCCCACTCTTTGGTTACGACTTGCTCAGTTCTCTTTCTCTGATGACAGAAAATGCCATTGTTAGAGGTTTTCTAGAACTTCTCCAAGGGACACTGTGTGCCTAAGAAGAATATGTGCAGAAACAGTCTCTTCACTCCTCTTTCCTGAGTTATAATTGACATATTAACTGTACGTATCTAAAGTATATGGTCAGATACATTTAACCTGTGCATAATGGGAAACCAGTGCCATAAGCTACACAAAATGAGTAAGTCCTTGTGTTCTTTGTCATCCTTCCCTCCTATCCCTCCCACAATCCCTGATTCTCTTTAAGCCCTGAAAACCACTTTTTTTGCTGGTGTATTATTTCTCATTTTCTAAGTGGAATGTAAATGAGATAAAACAGAGGACATTATGCTGAGTGAAATATCTCAGTCACAAAAGGACAAATACTGCATAGTGCCACTGTTGTTAAATGAGACTAACATTGGGGTTGGGGAGAACTTAAGAAAAGATGGTATAAATAATGTATTCTGCATTGAAACAGATGAGAGAAAGAACTGTTTAAACGGGATATATGATTAGGTTTTTTTTTTTCAACAAACAACAATTATTTATTGAGCGCCTACTATGTGCCAGGCACTGTTCTAGAACTCCCTCAAGGAGAAAAAAAAAGATAGAGGCAGAAATGCAAATTCTGAGGGAGAGGAAAGGGGAAGTTGAGGAAGAAGGCTGAGGGAGCTGAGAAGCCCTAGGTGATAGGACACTCTGCCTTAAGCCTCCTCTTCAGGCTCCTCACCGAAGTCTTCCTCCTCCTCTGCGGTGGCATCTTGGTACTGTTGGTACTCAGAAACGAGGTCATTCATGTTGCTCTTGGCCTCGGTGAACTCCATCTCGTCTGTACCCTCACCGGTGTACCAGTGGAGGAAGGCCTTCTGGCGGAACATGGCGGTGAACTGCTCTGAGATACACTTGAAGAGCTCCTGGGTGGCGGTGCTATTGCCAATGAAGGTAACTGCCATCTTGAGGCCACGGGGCGGGATGTCACAGGCAGCGGTCTTGATGTTGTTGGGGATCCATTCCACAAAGTAGCTGCTATTCTTTTCTGTACATTAAGCATCTGCTCATCCACCTCCTTCATGGACATCCGTCCTCGGAAGACAGCAGCCACAGTGAGGTAGCGGCCATGGCGGGGGTCACAAGCAGCCATCATGTTCTTGGCATCAAAGACTTGCTGGGTGAGCTCAGGCACAGTAAGGGCCCAGTACTGCTGACTACCACAGCTGGTTAGTGGGGCAAAGCCAGGCATGAAGAAATGGAGACGTGGGAATGGCACCATGTTGACAGCCAGCTTGCGGAGGTCAGCATTGAACTGGCCAGGGAAGCGGAGGCAGGTGGTGACGCCGCTCATGGTGACTGAGACAAGGTGGTTGAGGTCTCCATAGGTTGGTGTGGTCAGCTTGAGGATACGGAAGCAGATATCGTAGAGGGCTTCATTATCAATGCAGTAGGTCTCATCGGTGTTCTCTACCAACTGGTGGACAGAGAGGGTAGCATTGTAGGGCTCAGCCACAGTGTCGGATATTTTGGGTGAAGGCACCACACTGAAGGTATTCATTATGCGGTCAGGATACTCTTCTCTGATCTTGCTGATGAGCATGGTGCCCATTCCGGAGCCTGTGCCTCCACCGAGGGAGTGGGTCAGCTGGAAGCCCTGCAGGCATTCACAGCTCTCAGCCTCCTTCCGCACCACATCCAAGACGGAATCAATCAGCTCGGCCCCTTCGGTATAGTGGGCCTTGGCCCAGTTGTTGCCTGCCCCAGACTGACCAAAAACAATGTTGTCTGGTCTGAAAATCTGGCCAAAAGGACCTGAGCGAACCGAGTCCATGGTTCCAGGTTCTAGATCCACCAAGATAGCACGAGGAACATATTTGCCACCTGTGGCTTCATTGTAGTACACTGAGATGCGGTCCAGCTGCAGGTCGCTGTCCCCATGGTAGGTGCCGGTGGGGTCAATGCCGTGTTCATCACTGATCACCTCCCAGAACTTGGCGCCGATCTGGTTGCCACACTGACCAGCCTGGATATGCACGATTTCCCTCATGGTGGAAAATTAAGGTTTGGGTGTTGGGGGTTTTTCTTCTCGCCTCGGGTGTGCGTGGGACAAAAGAACGATATATAGTTATTTTTCCCCCCCTCTGTGGATCACAGGCTGTGAGGATGGTAAGTGCCCTGGAGGCTGGAGCAGCAAGATCTGAATGCGGCAGCAGGAAGGTTCAGAGAGGGAGAAAGGAGGAGGGAGGGAGGCGGCCATGTGCTGTGTTTTATGTTCAAGATAAGCAGTTGTTAGGCTTCCTTGCTGGTGGTGCATTTTTCAAGTAATTTATTAGGATAATAGTGACTTAATCACAAATTCTTAGTCCCTGGAGTAATAATCTCACAGCTAATCAATCAGGTTAATGGGCTAGACATTGTTAACTTTTATTATTGCTCTAAACGTAGGCAACTATTTTCTATCTTTCTATATTGCAAACAATTATGTCTGAGCTTCTCCTGCCATCATTGTGGTACATACATTCAAACTCCTCTGCATAATTTAATAAAACACAAGTAAACATCTTTTTAGTATTCTCTGCTTTCAGCAGGTTGTATCTGACATCAGCAATGATATCTCTCACATCATTGTCATGGTCTCTTCTGAATCCAGCTTGCATTTCTGGCAGTTTCCTGTCCATGTACTCTTCCAGCCACTTTTAAACATTCTTCAACAGGATTTTACTTGTCTGTGATATTCATGATACTGTTTGAAAATTCCTTCAATCTATTGTACACTTTTTTTTATATATAATGGGAACAAATAATGGATCTTTCCTAACCAGATGGCCAGATAGAAGTCTTCCAAATCTCACAGCAAAGACTAGTGAGCATGTCCAGGGCTGCATCTCTCAGCAGAGATAGCGAGTTTTCCCAACTCATCAGAGAGACCAACAAGGGAATCCAAGGTCCCCACCTTGAAGTCGGGAAT